TCCCAGGCGCGCCTGGGCTGCTCCCCAGCCGGAGCCCCTCCGCGGCTTTCAAAAGCTGGGATGCCCCCCCGCCGGCTTCCCCCGAGGCTTTGAGGATCCTACTTCTACTTCGCGGATTTTCATCTATCGCGGTAGGGTTTGGAACCTATCTACCGCGATAAACGAGGGTTCACTGTATTGTTTTTCAAGTTACAGACTAAGATGACTGCCCCCTGAGGCTCAATGTTATGAGTTAGGGCAGGACGAGAGGGGTGTTGCAATGGCAGCTGTGAGTGCCTGTACGTGTGGTAGCGCAGGTAAACAAAGCATCTTAAAGCCAGCTAGCAGCTTTCCCTTACAAGCCATGACCCAGAGTTTGAAAACCCCTCTCCTAGCCTGTGCGTCATTCCTGTGGTTACCACTGATGCATGTACATTCCAGAATGGTTCTCAGAAGAGTCAAATAGCTCATTAATATCTATAAATCCTACCTTGGTGACCTACAGGATGAAATATTTTGAGAACCAAGCAGTGGGGATGGCCCATGAGGGAAATAAACTGGTTCATTGCTAGGAAGAGGAGAACCAATAAACAGTTGCCTGTCTAGTATCTTCAGTTTCCTTCTTCCTTCTCTATAGAAGAAAAAGGAGCTAGGTCACATCCCATGCCTCTTTACATACCACCTCCAGCCCTTGGAAAACGTAGCACTTAACATCCTGCAAATACTCTCCAACTTTGCTATACCACAGGGACAACATCAAAAAATACTTTAAAAGGAGACAGTTTGTCAGCTATTTTTAGGTCTTCATTGAGCGAAGTGTTCTCCAGCATCAGCTCATCAGTCAGCTATCCTCAGCCTAAGCAAACCTGATAGAATGAGCAGCAGCAAGATGACATTGTTTTATGCAACAAAGTAAATTTACTGGAAAAATTCTGCAGCCTTCTAGCTGGTGCTTGCTGTGTATTATGTATAATCTGTGGTCTCTTCCAATTGATTACTCACACTGGAAGCTAACCATCCAAATGTAGAAACTGAATACAAGAGAAGGCTCAGGTACTTTGTATTATGTATTTATTAAGTATTTATTTGCATTCCCTGGGACTTGATCAATACCTCTATTGAATCATAGAACACTAGACCTGGAAGGGACATCGAGAGGTCATCAAGTCCAGTCTCCTGCCTTCATAGCAGGACCAAGCACCATGTAGCTCATCCCTGATAGAGATGTCTCTCCAACCTGCTCTTAAATATCTCCAATGTTGGAGATTCCTCAACCTCCTTTGGCAATTTATTCCAGTGTTTAACCACCGGAATTTTGCTATGGAAATTTGCTGCTTTAATCTCTGAGCAGTGTGTGGCTTAGACAAGCAGAGATATAACACATGGATTGTAGAGATTATTCAAGGCAGTGGTGACAGAGACTAGCCAACTAGCAACCTGAAGACTGGAACCCATTTGTATGATTCTTCAAAGAATGAGTTTATAAAATAATTAATAGTAATTCTTTCCAATTCACAAGCAGTTTGCAAGAATCAGTTCCTATCTTCAGAGTGCTTTGAGATCCTCACATGGGAATGCAAATACTATAGCAAAAATTCCCATGATTGCTGCCGGGCTTGTATCATTTATTTTCTGTACAGCTGCCATAGCTTAAAATTGTTTGGCTGCGAATGAGGTTGCCCCATTTTGTCATGTCATTTCATCCTTAGAATGAGAGGGGGAAACCCAAGGAGAGTTTCAAAAGTGAGTCCCTAGAAGAGCGTAGTCTCAGATTTATCCAGTATGTAATGTATTCCATGATCAATCCCTTGGCTAAAGGAGGAAGAGAGGATTGTCTCCAAAGGCAGCTATGGTCTGCTCTGCTCTGATGTGATGTTAGCTAAACCGGATGGTTAGGGAAGTTGGCCATTAGCCAAGATGTCTCAAGTCATATTTATAATTCCATCATCTTTTAAAAGTCGTCATTCCAGGAAACCACTTGGTGAATTTGAAGGGCAGTTTATCATCACTTTGCAATATTTATAGTTGTTTAACATCAGCTGTGTGTCACCGGCTAGTGTCTCATCTGCGTGACTCAGCAGCTGCAGTTCCCAAATTCAGCTGTTCAGCTGGACCTGGCAGCACCTTTCTTCTTTACAGTGGAAGGAAACAAGTTCAGTCTTTCCATTCACAGGGCCTCATTTATGATTGTTGTTAAAATTAGGAGGCCTCCATTTATAATGTGATCCCACTGTGCCCAGCAAAGTCTAGAATTTAAATAGACAACACAAGCAAATAGTGTGAGGGGAAAACAGATGCCGAGAGGTAAAGTGATTTGCCCAAGATCATAGAGCAGAGCAGTAGCAGAGATCCACGTTTCCTTACTCCCGAGGCAGTTCCTGCTTTGCGAGACTGTGCTCCTCCAACTGGGAAGCTTAGATTGCTTGTGGCTCAGATGAATACTCACATAAGTTGGTGGATCGGAATGAAAGAAATAATCTGCAAGTAGGAAGGCAAATAGAAGCATGTATGTTCTGTCCCTTTCTCATGCCTGCCGTCTGTCTTGTCTGCTGAGATAGTAAACTCTGCAGGAAAGAGACTATTAATCTGCTTGTACAGTGCCTAGCGCAATGAGATCTGTTCTCTGTCCGTCTCTAGGCATTACTGTAATACAAAGAACAATACATATCAATAATAAGAGCAGAGGAAGAGGGAAAAAGGATGATCTGGTAGCTGACACCAGCTTGGGATTTAGGAGGACTGGTTTCAGATTGCATCTGTTCCACGGACTCACTCTGTGGCCTTGAGGGAGTCACTTGAATTCTTTCAACTCCGTGCCCCATCTGGGGATAATAATTCTTCCTCTTTCTCCCAGCTTTCATCTATCTAATGAATCTATTGAGGCTATAATTTCTCCAGGGCCGGGACCATCTTTTACTCTGCATTTGTACAATGCCTAGCACAATGGGGCACCAGTTTCAATTAGGAGTCTAGGTGGTACTAGAATACGTATAATAAATTATACATTACATAATAAAAGACTATTTTATAATAAAACAATAGCTGAGAAAACAGAGGAGAAACTTCCTATCTCAATTATACTGGCACAACTTCATTGACTTGAGTGCACGAGTGTAATGGAGAAGATTCTAGGAGAATCAAAAGGAGCGGGAAAGAGAAATGAAAATGATGCTGTTTTCTTCCTCCTAGATGACATTTAACCATCGGCATTTAACTTCCAGCACTGCTGTTCCCTCGTTAGGCAGCCAATAAACTGAAACCACCATCAAACCTTTTTTTTTAAACAGAGTTCCCACACACTGACATTTTCAGAACAGCAAAACTTCCTGCCTTTATTTCTCGTACAGAAGCAAATAAATAGTGGTGGGATAAACTACATCGTAGTCCAAGTCAGGGATGTCCTATGAGATCTGGGAGGTGGCATGTTGCCTTTGGCTAGCAGTTGGTCTGAGATGCCAGGTGCTCAGTGCAGTAGCAGTGGGAAGAATGGTTGCCTCCTGTGCTCTTTCATTCTCTGCTAGGAGACCAAGACCATAGAATCAGACATTAATGGAATATGCTACAGCTTAAATATGCCAATTTGGAGAGGAAGGAGAGTGGCCAGCCAATCAAACACAATAGGATAATGTGCCCCTCATCAAAGTGTGGGAAGGTGGCACCTTTTCTGTGGACAGTGTTTTCAGCAAGAATCAAAACGTGGATTTGTTTACATGGCAGTGATTTATAAAGGGACAGATAGTGGCAGAAAGGAGTAACCAAAGCCCTTTACATTATTGAGGGCCAAATATGGGTCTTGCTCCTTTCTGCAGTGCTGGTAGAGACAGGAAGGTGCCAAGCAGTGCTGGCTGCACTCCTCTCAGGAGTATTCCCTTTTCACAGATGGTGTGGGCAGAGTGCCCAGGTAGTGTCAGGTAGCTCTCTGTACCGCCTCCATAGCTAATTTTGAATGGATCAGCATGTACTCCACGTAGCTTCTGACAATGGCAGAGCCCTGACCATGCTCCAAAGCAGCCTTGCCAGACCCCAAATGTCCACAGAGCTTCTTGGGATCATAGACTGGGTTGTGCCTGACTCATCTGTGGGTACAGGAAATAGTTGCTTTTTTGTCAGTTGCTGATTCCACAGTCCATCTGGCAAGGTAGGTGTTTGGGGTATTTTACAAATTCCTTTTCTTTCTCCTTACAGGGTTACTTAAAGCAGTGCCGGAAGAGGAGAGACATGTTCAGCGATGAACAGTTGAAGGTCATATTTGGGAACATCGAAGATATCTACAGGTTTCAGATGGGCTTTGTCCGGGATTTGGAGAAACAGTATAACAATGAGGACCCCCACCTCAGTGAAATTGGACCTTGTTTCCTGGAACATGTAAGTTTTAGAGGGAAATTTTTAGAGAAAGTAGGAGCCATTTTACATGACTTGATCTTCACTTTTCTAGGTAGTAAATTCCTCAGATTACAGACCACATGCTACCTTGACTATTGATTTTTTTGTTGCTAGGTGTGGAAATGGGCAAACTTTAGAAGTGATGCATAAAGCTATAAGACATAGAAAACACACAAGCAAGAAGAGGGATAAGAGTCTGCTTAACATCTTACACGTCTCTACCCAATTGCAAGGTGTTCGGTCCTATAAAAGGTGATCCTACAAAAATTGGAAACATGGGGAAATTGTGTAGAATGAACACAAAAAAATAATACAAATCTGTTTCTGTCACATCACCTATTCTTCTGTGCATCAGGTTTCCCATCTGTAAAATGGCAACACTGCATGCCTGACAAATGTGTTACAAGCCTTGATTTTGGTAAAGTCATTTGAGATAATAATAATAATGTGGCTTCCTTCCAAGCTAAATTTCATACCTGACACCTTTTTAAATGATTTTTTTAAAATCAAGATTTGGCAAGGATAGAAACCTTTATGCTCCAGGCCATAAACTGACCTCTAACTAACAGAGAGGTTAAGAAGACTCTTTCCATATGGATATGTTATCCTGGAAAGGCCTTTTACAAGGTTCCTTGCACCTTTCTATGAAGCACTGGTACTGGACATAGTTGGAAATGGACTGTTCATCTGATCCCATCTGGTATTTCCTACCTGCCTATGTTCGTCAGATACAAGGGAGACCGAGGTGTAACTGTAGGAGCAATTTATAAATACCTGGCTCATCGTGTGGAAAGTTTTTCTAAAAATGGTTGTAAAAATACACCTCAGTCTGTTTTCAGACCTGTATTAAAGAAGAACCCAAGTTGTTTGATTGGTGTGTTTAAAACAAAAAACTCAGCCCAAGAAACCAGGCATTTCTAATTGCATGCCAACTGAGTGGAACGTTTTATTGCAATGTAAGCTGTCTATGCATTGGTTCACAAGAAAGGAAAACACATGTTCAGAGTCTTGGCTGGAGCAACACAGCACATTTTCAAGGCATGAAAACCCATCTGACTTTATTCCCCCTCTCCCTTTGTGATTGTTTCTCTGCTGAATGGAAGGATGCTGGCCCAGGCCTCATGCTGCCTAAGTGACAGCAAGGCAGCAGATAGCTTACTCATGCTAAACACACAGGGTAGGTGTAAACTACATGCCTCTGCCGACAGAGACATGTAAATTAGACTACCTGACTTGTCAGTGAAGCGGGGATTTAAATATCCCCTGCTTCATTAAAATAAAAATGGCCACCATGCTGTGCCGGCTCAGCTGATTGTCGGCACAGTGCGGCAGTCAAGACGTGGATCAGTCAACAGGGAATGCCTTTGTCGACTGCTCCTGTAAACCTCGTTTCACGAGGCATAAAGGAGCGGTCAACAAAGGTGTTCCCTGTCAACTGATCCAGTCTTGACTGCCGTGCTGTGCCGATGATCAGCTGAGCCGGCACAGTGCGGCGGCCATATTTATTTTTATGAAGCAGGGGGTTTACATGCCTCTGTCGGCAGAGGCATGTAGTCTAGACATACCCACAGAGAATAGGACTTGGTAGCTGACAATATAACGCTAAAGGCTTTAGCCCACCCCATCTCGCCTATTACATAAGCTGTATATTACGGGAGCTGATAAATTGCCCAGTGTTGTAAATATGTCAGGAAATGTCAAGAAAATTACAGTTCTGCTTTTTTGGATTTTCCTTTAGGGAGAATGAAGTGCTGTATCGGTGCTTATGTAAGAGGTGCTCTGATCCAGGATGTGGATCCTTTTATGTGTATCTTCATTACTTACAGAGCTACGTTTCCCATCAGCAACACTTCAGTTTCATTAGAGAATCTCATTGCAGGCATTAATGAAATTTCAGTGGGACATCATTAAAATCACTCGCAGCTTCCGCTAATTGCCGCTGGCCTTTGCAGCGAAGAGCATCATTCTTTTTTTGATGGACAATACTGTAATAAAAACATCCCTGGTTAGATCTGCAAGGGTGGTGCCAAGATACTACCATGATGGGCAGAAATCTGCAGAGAGGAAATTAGAAAACTCATATCATGAAGTCATGGGAGAGTTTCAACACTGGCTATATCCTCATGGTGGGGTCCTAACCCCCTCCAGCAGACTGGTGGGAGAGCTTGTATCTGTGAGGTTTTCCCCAACTTGCTGTGACAGAGGAAAGCAAGGTGTTTGGCTCCTCTGAACTCCCAGAATCCTCAAGCCCTTGGAAACACATGGTCAACTGTCTGGAGTCTCTGTGCCTTCCCAAGAGCCATCTTTCCTGATTTCCCTGTTCTTGTTCTATCCAGGAAGCTTGTGTTTAAGGGAGTAGCACAGGCAGTACCAAGAGCAGAAAGTGCAAACTCTCTTCATGTAGAGCAGGGGTGCGGAACCTAAGGCCCGGGACATGGATGCGACTGCCTGCTTCCCTGGGTCTGGCCTCCGAGGCTCAGGGCTCTCCCCCCCCCCCAGTTTTAGGGAGCCTGTGCTGGCACTCCAACCCCCTCCCCGGGGCCACATCAATGAGGGCTTGCTTTTTTGCTTCTCACTTGTGTACAGCCCCGAACCGCTTCCCCACCCCTGATGTGTAGCATGAAGAGAATGTGGCCAAGTGTGTTTAAGGGGTGAGCAGCCCCTTCCTGTGCATCATTAAGTAGCAACCACTGCTTGAATGCAGCACATCAAAGGTTGGTCTTGTAGCAAGATGTGGGACAGTGACGCACATACCTGAGTTCAGTTCTTCTCTCTGTGTTCACATATCACTCTGTGCCTCAGTTTACCAATGTTCTTGTACATATTCTTTTCATCTACCTCTTGTCTGTATAGCCTATAAGCTCCTGAAGGCAGGACTGCTCCTCTTACTATGTGTTTATACCAAGTCTTGGGGCCCTCACAATACCTAGGCTGGCCTCTAAGCAATGTAATACAAATAAATACTAACAGACTTGATGGACGAACGCAGAGAAGGAAGAGGTGGTTTTGTGATCAAGGTTTGTTTCTAACTCTGGTGGTGCCAGAGGGGCTGGAACAATTTATACAGTGGGGATGCTGGGAGCCATTGAACCAAACTGTAAACCAGGAGTCTCAAACTCCCAGTCTATGGGCCATCTCCAGCCAGAGTGATGGCACAATCCAGCCTGGGACTCCTAGCAGACTGGGGGGAAGCCTGTCCATTACCGGTCCCCAAGCCCTGCCTCTTCCTGCCATCACCCCACCCTCTGGCTGCATGGCACCCCGTACCTGAGGGGGATCACTGGTGGAGGGCCTGGAGATGGTGACATGTGCTGCGGAAAAGTGGAGCGAGTGCATTCGCCCAGTGCTCTCCGCTTCCCCCCAGCTTCTGCTGCCGTGGGGGGAGGGGCATGACCACTGCCGCTGCATGGTGCCAGCCCTCTCTCCCCACCCTGAAGCTGCATCCTCAGAGATGGGGTATCATGGGGGGAGAGGGAAGAGAGATGGGGGGAAGGGGCAGAGTTTGGGGGTTGATAACAGAGCAGGGAAGTCCTGGGACAGATTGTGCAATCGCTCCAGCTGGGGATGGTCTGCAGGCAGGAGTTGAGACCTCTGCTGTAAACCATGGATGTGATGGGAACCACTTCAAGCCAGGGGGTGCGCCTCTAATTCCACCGCCGAGGTGGTGGTGTATTACTATGAGCAAGTCCCTTCCCCCCTTCATGCCTGAGAAAGCTGGGCTTTCCAAATCTATCCCGTGTGGGTGGGGTGAGGCTTAGCTCATAGAAATTTATCACACACTTTGGGGAGCATCTGGTGGAAGGCACTGTGCATATCATTATTACTTGGCAGCGTGTGCTGCCAAAGACCTGAGCTGTGATTCAGCTTCACCTTTGCCATTTTAAAGAAAACAAGCCCCATTTCTTGATTTGAAATCGAAAGCTCCCACGTGGCTCTCTGAAGGGATGATCTTCCTACACTCTTGTATTTCAACCGTACCTGCAACAATGTGTCAGTGTAACAGATTCCCCGCAGAGACACCCTGCTAATTGAGTGCTACACAGAGAACAGGACAAGGCCTGCGTGCGAGTAATCCAACATCAGACCTTGCTGCTGCTGCTGCTGGGCTGTTTTTCTTTTTCTTGTTGTAATTTATTCTTGTTAGTGTGACAAGCAGTTTATTGTTCCCAGCACTTGTCTGATATACTCTCCTCTCTTCTCTCTGTCTCCTTCTGTGTTCATTCCCTCACTCTCACCTCTCGCAGCAAGACGGGTTCTGGATCTATTCAGAGTACTGTAACAATCACTTGGATGCGTGTATGGAGCTGTCCAAACTGATGAAGGATGGCAGGTACCAGCATTTCTTCGAAGCATGTCGTTTGTTGCAGCAGATGATTGACATTGCCATAGACGGTTTCCTTCTTACACCAGTGCAGAAGATCTGCAAATACCCCTTGCAACTGGCAGAGCTATTGAAGTATACTGCACAGGATCACAGGTAATGAGATGCCTCTTTTTTACTCTACTTGTGTTTTTGATGGCTGAAGACATATGAGAGCATATTTCTTTTTTACTAAATAACAAAGGGTATGTCTACACTACAGGACAAAGTTGAATTAAGATATGCAACTTCAGCTACATTTATTGCATAGCTGGAGTTGAAGCATCTTAACTCAGCTTTTGGCGCTGTCCACACTTCAGGAAGTCGAAGGAAGAACACTCTTCCTTCCACTTCCCTTACTCCTCATGAAAGCAGGGTTACCAGCATCGACCGGAGTGCCCCTCAGTTCGAATTAGCTGTCTTAAGTAGACCACTAATTCAAACCCTGGAAGATTGACTGTGGCAGCTTCAATTTTTCTCTGTAATGTAGATGTACTCAAAGATTTTCTCTCTTACTTTTTCTTGCATCCAGCTGTTTTTCCTCATGGTAACTTGTTAAAATTAAGGCAGGGCAGAAGTTCAGCAAACTAGATAGAAAGCCTACCCAAAGCATTTATTCCCAGTGGAACTAAATATAATTCCACTGTACTCAGAGACCTGAAGTAATGATACTTAGTTGTACTTTTTGATGCTACCTGCTACTCTGGATGAATTATTGATAAATGTACTCAGTTAAGATACATTAGCCAAAAAGGTTTGTTTCCCTCTCCTGACAATGAACTCATCAGAGCAGGGAATGGGAGCACCTCTTGTGTTCGGATAAAAATGGGCCAGACCAGTAACTTGCACCTGAACTCCCTAAATGTGGGCAAAATTCAGATCCTCATCTGGTTGTTGCAGGTTGTGTCTGTCACTGTTTCTGGCATCTGAGTTTGGATCTGAGAAGCACAGAAAAGTTTGCATGTTTTTCTGAACTAGAGCTAGCCAGGAACTTTCCATCAGACTAATATTCTGATGAAAATGCCATTTTTGCAAAATTGAAATTTTCTCTGGGAAAAGTGAAATAATGGCTGCTCGCCTGGCTAATTCTTGCCAGTTTCACTTGCTGCTTGCACTGAAATTATCTGACTTCCCCAGCTCTCAAACTCCGCTCCCTTATCCCCAGCTCCAGATGTGGGGGGAAGCAGAGCAAGCAGCACGAACAGCAACCAGACATTTCAGAAACTTCTAAAATGGTTTGGTTTGTGATTTGGTTTTGGAAATGGAGAAAGAGATGACAAGAGCAGAGATTTATGTGTATGTGATCTGCCCTGGTTCGCCAATGTCTAATAGATATTAGCTTGAACCAAACCCTGGATACAAACATCTCTGTAAGGATGAATGTTTGAAACCCAATCTTGGACCTGCATCCAAGTTTCTCCCTTCCTTTATCATGGGGCCAAATCAAAATCCTGAATCTGAACCTACTGACCTTTGGAGCATTTGAAACCTAGCCCTGGATTCAAATCTCATAGCTTATTCATCTTTCCGATCCCAAACCATTCTGATGTCACAATTAGGGTTGCCAGATTGTTTCAGAAAAAATACCGAACAACAACAACAAAACCACACTAGGAAAAAGTGTGTTGGCCCCTTTAAAAACCGTGTGGTGAAGCTTTTTGGCCCTAACAGGCTGCCGGCGTCTGTCTGCCATCTTGCCTCCCTGCGGAACCCGATAAGCACTAGGGTTGTCAGGCTGCCTCTGTATTTAGCCTGGTTTTCCTGGGATTTTTGCCTCCTGTCCGGGAAAAAATCAGAAAGTACTGGACATTTTAGGTGTCCGGTATTTTCTGAATTTTTTTACCAGACAGGAGGTGAAAATACCGGGCTGTCCGGTTCAATACCAGACACCTTGCCACCCTAGTCACAATAGCATTTGCTGTTTTGTGATGCACACAGGCTTCTGACTTCCTAGAAGGTAGGGAAAAGCAGCCTCAGAAAGGAGGAATGTCTCATTCCTCTTAGGTAATTAGAACTAATACCAATGTGCAGTGTGATTATACTGAGGGTAAAATTACATTTTTGGGTTCAGTGTGGTTTAAAGCATTCCTTTTTCATTGAGGACTCAACATTACTCTGTGATTATATAGTCAGGTAGACCATTGATGTTGTGATGTTCTGAGGGCATCAATGCACTCCCATGGTTACATTACAATCATCTGAGACAGTCTAATATATTTTATATTGGTGTAAATCTGGAGCCTCATCACTGAAGGTACTTTGAATTTACATGCTTTTACTGAGATCAGAAAACCTGGTCCCAGGTATAAGTACCCAAGTTCACCAAAGGCATGTTAGTTTAATGGGGTAGTAGGACAGGGAGAGAATTTTAAAAAGTGCTTTTTGATAGCTATTGTTTAGATATCTTAAGAATCTCCAAGGATGGGAATTTCCACAGCCTCACTATGCTATTTATTCCAGTGTTTCACCACCCTGACAGGAAGTTTTTCCTCATGTCCAGCCTAAACCTCCTTTGCTGTGGTTTAAACCCAATTTCTTCTTGTCCTATCCTCAGAGGTTAAGGAGAATAAATTGTCACCCTTCTCCTTGTAGCAACCTTTTAGATATTTGCAAAAAAAGCTGCACTAACAATAGCTGCCCATTGTCTCTAGATAATATCAATTTCCTCCCATTCAAAGGTCTTAAAGCACTTTTGAGATTACTAAGGCCTCATAGCTTCCCTCAGAGGCTAATTACCTCTGAGGTAATTGTGTGAAGTAGGCACATAGAGGCATGGAAGGGTTTAGTGACTCAGAGGTCTTTGTGTGTCTGCATCAGATTTGTGCATAGAATTTGGGGTCTCCTTCTCTTTCTGGAGTTTGAAATTTCCCTGCTGCAGCATTGTCAGGCTTTCCATTAACATCACTTGGGGGTTAGTGCCTAGGTTAATAATTGCCCGAGAAGTAGATGGAAAAGTGAATAATTATTAAGGGATTGGAATATGCAGAAAAGAAAGATGTGATATGACGGCAGGTGGAGATGGGTACCAAGCTAGAATGCAGGCTGTGTCTATACTACAGACCTTACAGCAGCACTGCCACTACACCTCTGTGAGCTCTCCCATGTAGCGGCTTTATGCAGAGAGCTCTCCTGTTGGCATAATGAATCCACCCCCAATAAACAGCAGTACAGATTGAACCTCTCGGGTGCCTATGGATGTTGCTGAACCAGAGAGCCCTTGGACCAGAGAGCCCTGGTGGCTGGAAGCGAGGGCCAGTTGGTAGTCTGGTGGCAGAGAGGCCAGAGGCTAGGTTCAGGAGCAAAGCTGGTATAGCCACGGGGGGACTGGTGACCATGAGCTCAGCCAGGGCCAGGAGCAGAGCTGGTTCAGTGGCTGGGGGGTTGGCGGCCAGGAATGGAGCCAAGCTAAGGTGTGTGTGGCCAGAGCCCAGCTAGGGCCAGGAGCAGGGCTGGTCCGGTGCTCAGGAGCCTGGTTAGGGCTAGCTGCGGAGGCCAGGAGCTGAGACTGACAGAGGGGTCAGTGGCCAGGAGGAGAGCCTGGCTGGGAGGCTGGTGACTCCTGGAGAGAGCCCAGAGGCCAGCAGCAGAGGGCAGAATTGGTCTAGCAAATTCCATCATTTGGGACCAGTCAGTCCAACCTGTAGTTATGTAGGTGGGAGAGCGTCTCCTGCAGACATAGGGCTGGCTACATCAGTGCTTCTGTTTGTCAAACTTATGTCAGTTGGGGGCAGGTGTTTTTCCCCGCAACCCTGCGAGACAAAAGTTTTACCAATAAAAGGGTTAGTATAGACTTCAGGCTGGCTATCTAAATTTCCAAAATATCTAATATATCTAAAATTCCCCAACTACCTAATATCTAAAATTCTTTGTGCCTGTAAATCAGATTGTTAGACGATGTGTTTAATTTGATTGTGGGAGAAAAACTAAAGGAACAAAATGGCCTGGTGGATTGATGCTCATCATGGGTCAGATTGTGAATCTCTTCCTCTGAGTAGCACCTTACTATGCAAAAGGTAATGGCATTAGAGTGTTATTACTCAAAATGAACAAGGAGTTCATAATCTGGCCCCATGAAAGGAAGGAATTTTGTATCATTTGTCAGTAGATACCATTAGATTTCCCTGCCCTTCCCCTCTGGTTAGCTGTAATCATTCTCTTATTGTATTGCTATAGAGCTACTATTTATAGATCCAGGACAATGGGCCTGCATCCAAATTCCTGATCATTCCAGCCCAAGTTAGCACATGACATTTTGGCAAGAGCCCATGCTTGCATTCTGCATTGGAAGGAAATCATTGCATCCCAAATATAACTGACGAGCAATTTATCGGCCTTAATTTTATTTTGAATGCTATCCTAATATTAATCCACCAGCCAAATGCTTTCTTCTGCCGTTTTTCTTCTAGGTTCTTTGTCAGCTCAGCCGCAGACATGGGCTGGGAGCCCAGAAAGTTCAGTCGCTGATTCTTGCTTCATTAATGCAGGAAAGGAAAAATGTACATGCTGGTTCCTCTTCAAATGGAACATTAGAATTAGTGAATTAGCATTACCAGCATAAAGCCCAGCTTTATTGGCACCAGCCCACTCCACATGGAGGCAGGGTTGGGGATGCTTTAAAATCTTGACTCTGTTCAATTGTTCATTGTCTCCGGGCCAGTTCATCTGAATTTTTCACAAAGGCACATCTGTTCATTGTCCCAAGATTGAAACCCGTTTAACATTCATTAAATATCTGAAGGTCATCACTGCAACATTGCCTTATGAGCAATTGGTATTGTAGGGTCACTGCCCAGTGCTTTCAACAAGTTCCTTGATTCAGAGTTTCAGTGCAAGTAAGATTTGGGGGAAGAAGTCAGTTTAAAATTAAAGGCATCCAGAGTTTTCCCTGGACACTTGGCATTAGGAGTTGTTTTCATGGATTCTATAAAAGAATAACTTCCTTCCATTGCTGTGCAGGTAGTAACAAGGGCCAGTCCCTCCCAGTGTTTTTATTGTGGGCTTCTTGGGAAAGCTGTCAACTCAATTTGCGAAGTTAATTTCTGCGCTATGGGATATCATGCTGTTTTGAGACTAGTCCCAAATGTTCCCTCCTGCAGATCCAAACCAGAGTTAAGTGTGTGTGAGTGTTCTGGGGTCAGGGGGAGATGTTGGAAATCCTTAACTGATATTAGTCACTTTTATACTTTCACATTCCAATTTCTTGCATATAACTACCTGAAGTGTAGTGTAACAATTTGTGACTCACTGCCATGGCAGTTCCTGCTGGTCACTCTGGGAATTAGTTCCAACCAGCTTCCGGAGCACCCTCTTCCAGCCAGTGACGCTCCTGCTGTTACCTGTTGTCCCTCCCAGACCATGGAGCCCATCCCTCAGGGTGCTGCCCTGCTGCAGTGCCCCCACACTCTGGGGTCCACACCTTCAGGGAACCGCCAGCCCCCAATCCCCACCTTATCTCAGTGACCCACTGCCAGTCATCATCTAACCCCTTACCTGAGGGGCAAACTGTAGTCTGAAATGGCCACTGACCACAGGCAAGGTGCTGTGGACCTGCTGTCTTCACCTACCCTGGCTGCCTCTCTGCAGCCCTAGTACCTCACTGAGCCTCAGCCTGAGTGTAGTCAGGCCAGAGTTCCCCTGGCTCACCCTGTTTCCCAGCATTGCACTGTCCATGGTACCCATACTAGCCGGCAGCTAGGTCCCTCTCCCTCGGGAGTTGGAGCAAGAATGTGTTCCTCTCCTTCAGAAGCCTTTTTATAGGGCCTAGCCAAGCCCTGATTGGCTGACTCCAGCCCCTCTCCAATTGGATCTCAGGACTGCACTCTCCCCAGGCTGTTTTTAACTCCTTTTATACCTGGAGCAGGGTGGTAACCCTGCTACATATAGGCTGTGTCTACACTGAGCCACTTATTCCGGAAAATCAGCCGCTTTTCCGGAATAAGCTGCGAGCTGTCTACACTGGCCCTTGAATTTCCGGAAAAGCAACGATGCTCTACTGTACAAAATCAGCTGCTATTCCAGAAAAACTATTCTGCTCCCGCTCGGGCATAAGTCCTTATTCCGGAACACTGTTCCGGAAAAGGGCCAGTGTAGACAGCCCAGTAGTCTTTTCCAGAAAAAAGCCCCGATCGCGAAAATGGCGATCGGGGCTCTTTTCCGGAAAAGCGCGTCTACATTGGCCACAGACACTTTTCCGGAAAAAGGGCTTTTCCGGAAAAGCAGCCTGCCAATGTAGATGCTCCTTTTCCGGAAAAACTGAAAACGGAATAGTATTCCGTTTTAAGCATTTCCGGAAATTCATGCCAGTGTAGACACAGCCATAGAGTGTGTCTAAACTGGCAAAATGTTGCGCAAAAGCAACTGCTTTTGCGCAAAATCTTGCCACCTGTCTACACTGGACGCGAGTATTTGTGCAAGAACACTAACTTTGTACTGTACAAAATCAGTGGTTCTTGCACAAATACTCCGATGCTCCCGCTCTGGGATAAGCCCTCTTGCGCAAGTATTCTTGCACAAGAGGGCCAGTGTAGATAGCCAAGTTAATTTCTTGTGCAAGAAAGCCCGATGGCTAAAATAGCCATCGGAGCTTTCTTGCGCAAGAGAGCGTCTACACTGGCACGGATGCTTTTGCCCAAAAGATGTCTTTTGCGCAAAAGCATCCGTGCCAGTGTGGATGCTCTCTTGTGCAAATACTTTTAACAGAAAATCTTTTCCATTAAAAGTATTTATGCAAAATCATGCCAGTCTAGACACAGCCATAGATTTGATCCTATTTGCATAAGCCTCACCCATTAATTGTGTTTCCATTTTATCAGTGTATCAGGACATTGGCTCAACACTTTTCACTGTCTACCCCACACACATTCCCCTCCCTGAAGGTGTATTCTCTAACCATCATCCTTAATGTATAGTCTCAGGGCCAATTCCTAGAGTCCTTTACTCACTATTTATTCGATGATTGGAAAGTTTGGGAACAATAGTTCTTTTTAATTTAGCAAAGGTTTTTCCTAAGGACTGAGTTGAAACCGAGTAAGAACATCAAGATCAGAAAAAATGTTAAAATCGTATCTATATTCTATGATGGAAAATATAAAAATATGCTGTACATTTTATTTTAATACTTTCCCAATTTCTAACCCATTTGGGGCACTTAGTGAGTTTTTGGATCTAAAATCATGTTAGGGGAAGGAAGCTGTGAAATACAAAAAGAAATGAATTGCCTGTTTTCAATATCTAATACTGAAGTATCTATCCCTGGCACTAAACTTACAAGTCTCCAAATGTTGGAAAATAGTCAACATTACAACAAGACTTTCAAGGGCAGAATATTACAAAAATTGTGGAGGAGTTGACTCAAAATGATATGCTATTTCTTTGACATAATGAGCAGTGGGATAATGCCAAATGTGTGAGTGAGACTGAAGTCAGCTTGGGTCTGTAATGAGCAACTCCACACCTGAGAGGTTTTGTCTACATATTTCAGGTACTAGAATACAAAGTGTTAATCCCCTCTTCTAAATGTCACTGACAAACTTGAACAGTCACCAATAGAGCCATTTCCTTAGCAGCTGCATGAGATCTCCCTTTTTCTCATTAGTTAGAAGTCAATACCAACCCCTAAGTTAATCATAAATTATGGCAACATTATAGCAGCTGGACTAGTCTGCCTTCCCAATAGAAATGAATGTGAAGGTCTCCAGAAATAGAAAATGAGGCACAAGGTGGAAATCAATAGCATTGATTTCAGCATCACTTTTTGAAAAGACTGATCATCACCCTGGTTGGCTCAGGCGGGAGGCTGTTTTCGTTCTGCTATTACACTCACACCTCGCATCCAGGAAGCAAAAGAATCGCTTTAATTTGCTCACATAGCACATGAGATATTCACAGTGAGAGCAAATGCCATGAGACAAGTGCTATGTGACTCTCCTTCTGTCATTTTGGGTTTGTCTACTCAGCGGCTGACCGCGAGCCCAGAGACTGATTCGCACGAGCAGGGCTTGAGCTAACTCATTACAAACAGCAGCATGGCTGCTGCAGCTTGGGCTCTGAAGCTTGAAAACCCAAGTCTACCATGAGCCATTACGTCCACATTGCTATTTTTAGCACACTAGCTCGAGCCCCACTAGCATGAGCCTCTGGCAGCTGCCTGCAGTGTAGAAAGGCTGAGCAGACTGGGCTCCAGCCTTATGTCCTAAGGGTTATAAGAGCAATAACTTGTGTATTCTTTGCCAGCCAGGGTAGTTCCCTCTGTATTCAAACCAGATATAGTGTGTTATAGACTGAGGTTTTAAAGTGTCACACATGCTTCTTCTGGGGACCCAGGGAACACCTTCGCCCTTTCATTATTCAAAGGCAAGCATAGGTAGATGCGCAATCCAGAGAAGTCCTGAACCCAAGTCTTGCAAAAAGAAGCTCTGGAAGGAAATTGTCTTGATATAAAAATAAATTTGCCCTGGCTCTGCTTCTTCCAGAAACACCAGTGTGATCAGAGGAGGCACGAGCAACTCCAATTTGGGACTATTTGTGTGCAGTTGGGCTGACAGAATTGCCAGGCTCTTGCACAAGATGGGGGGAGCCTGCTTTGTGCTCCCATAAGGGGTGGGGCTTCAGGCAAATGGCGTGGGGGTGGGGGCTGCCAGCCTTCAGTGCTGCCTGGAGCACACTGCATACGCCCCCCAGCCATCCCTCAGGGCTGCCTGAAGTGCACTGTGCAGGGCTCCAGCAGCAATATAAAGGGTCTGGGCCTCCGTCTGCCACTGCTCTCACAGTAGTGGCTGTGGTGGCCAGGAGCCCCAGACCCTTTTGAAGTACCAGGTCCTGGGGCAGTTGCCCTCTTTGTATCCCCCGTGTGTGTGGGTTTAGCTACGAATACAGGCAGGTAGCTCGATAGATGTATATGCACACACAGAGAGAACTGCTCACATACATAATATGACTGCGAAACTGTCTGGTTCTGTCCCAGATAACTTGAGACTGAGACATCCAGAGGTTTGTTCTGGGCATTGTATACATTTATGATAAATCACTACAATAAGGAAACTAATTTTATAAGAACATAAGAATGGCCATACTGGGTCAGACCAAAGGTCCTTCTAGCCCAGTATCCTGTCAGCTGATGGTGGCCAATACTATATGCCCCAGAGGGAGGGATCACAACAGGTGTAATCCTCACGTGATCCCTCCCCTGTCTCCCACTTCCAGAGAAACAGAGGCTAGGGACACCAGTCCTACCCATCCTGGCTAATAACCATGGATGGATCTAACCTCCATGAATCTACCTAGCTCTTTTCTGAATCCTGTTAAAGTTCTAGCCTTCACCGCATCCTCTGGCAAGGAGTTCCACAGGTTGACCATGTGCTGAGTGAAGAAAACCTTCCTTTTGTTTGTTTTAAACCTGCTGCCTATTAATTTCATTTGGTGACTCCTAGTTCTTATATTGGAACATTAACAGTAAAATGTTTTCCAGCTTTCATTTTCAAAATGAAACATTCCAAGGCTCTACAATAGGCCATCTCCCATCCTTTTCCTGCACAGTCATGGAGCTAGGGATGTTCAAACAGCCCAGAAATGTAGCTGATCACCCTAACATTTTCCAAAAGAGCAAGATCTACAACTGCTGTCATTCCATGCAACTCCATGTGAGTCAATGAAGTTACATCGATGTACGGCAGCTGAGGAGTCTGGCTCATTAATTTGATTAGAGTTTCACAGTATCTCCATTTGAAACAAGTTAATGCTTTTTCGGAGGGCAAAGGGGAAAATAGGAGGAAGAGGTTGACAAACCAAAAAGCAACCAGCAGAGGAGAAGTATCAAGAATAATAACAAGTGGAAAATTGCTGTTAGTCCCCTTTTCTAACAGTTGCAGCTGTAATGCTGTTAATAACAATGAACCCTTGTACACTTCCATTGTGCGACAGATGCGATTCCATGGGCTCCTTTTGTGTTTTCTAGTGACTACAGGTACGTGGCGGCTGCCCTCGCAGTCATGAGGAATGTGACTCAGCAGATCAATGAGCGGAAACGGAGACTGGAGAACATTGACAAGATCGCTCAGTGGCAGGCCTCAGTCCTGGACTGGGAGGTACAGTATGCATTTGGCAATGATGGGCTCCACTAGATTCCATCACACAAAGCAGAGGGTAATTGATTCATATTGTGCTTGGGCTGCAAGTAACACAGAGATGTCATGTTTAGGTGCCAGTAGCTTGTATGTGAACCGTCTCCACTAATGGTGTGTATGGAGCATGTGGGTGTAAATTCTGTCTGGCCTCCAGAAGGCTCTAGGGCACACAGCTTACCTCATGCCTTTTGTACAGGACAGCTGTGTTTGGGAGCAAACGACAGAGCATTGCGGTAACCTGGATTAAACAGAAGGGTAGAAGGAGGCATTTTGTCTTTAAGGGAATGTCTACATAGTCACTGGGAGGTATAATAAACCTGCACTGTCCCTGCTTGAGCTAGTACCCTAAAAATAGCAGTGTGGCTAGCCATCCCAGTACAATCCTGCCCAACCCCTGGGTATATAGTCAAGCCGCTAGGCCAAGCTGCCTGTGCTGCTGTGGTCATACTGCTGTTTTTAGGTGCTAGTTTGAGCAGAGCTATCAAAGGCAGCTTAAAACTTAGTAATGATTTCATAATGAATAGAGTATTATTATTATTACTATTTAATAAGATATTCAACCCAAAAGGTGCATATGGTTCTATACAGACATTTGACACACCAAATAATAGAAACAGTCCATATCCCAGATGTTACAGCTGAAGGCTCCAATTCACTAATTAATTGGCATGCTAGGACATACTGAATTGGAGTCAATAGAATTACTCTCATGATTAAAGTTGGATATTGAATCGGAGCTTAATTGTGGTCTCCGTGTAGTGAATGATCACAGGGGAATGGGCTGGGGAAGGGAAGCTGAGGGATACTGCATCACCAGATCTTGCAGGTTACTGTGGTTTGCCATGTCATGTGTTCATCTGGGACATTTTTAATATCCTTTGTTTTTCCCATTGTTCTATTATCAAAATCTCCATTTGTAGTTGGGATTGTTGAACTAGGGCAAAGCAGGGCAGTTTTATAAAGCTCATCCTACATGGAGTCATTAACATGCATTTTTAGCAAGAAAATTCTCACTGATGTAACCGGTCCTGGATGCTCTTCTTTCTCACATCAATTTAAATGAAGAGAAATGCCATTGAAGTTAATGGAGTGATGCTGGGGTAAACTGGTGAAAGGAAGAGATGACTCCATCCTTTATATATTTTCTGGACAAAACCTAGGAGGATCAGGGGAGAGAGGGAGAAATTTAGGGCCCATCACTTACACTCAGTTTCTCTAGTGCCTCCACATTGATTTAGCTGAAATTACACTGGTGCATATTAGGGCATGATTAGACCCTAATTCAGTAAATAAAGAGTATAGGTGGAAATGATGCGATTATGGTCGGTACTTAAATTTTGACTAGCAGGAAAAGCAGAAGATGCAGATGATTTGCTTTATTGATTCATTCACTGTTATTTATTTTAAAAATCTCTGATATTGACATGCAGGCTTGTTATTGCATTAGAAGACAGTCATCAGGGGAGGAGGTACAAGGTCATCAGATGTATCTTCAGCCAGAAATATATGATGAGTTACTATGACTCATTTATAAGAAATGCCAAGAGCCCAATTGTAAATAAACCTAGAATGAGAACAGATCCGTCTCCAGACACTTAATGTTCATGCGTGAATGGAAAGCCAATGTGGTCTGTACCTAGGAATGGTGGAATTAGTTTCCTTTCCACCATCATTAGTGTGGCTGATAAATTCACTTCGATTTAGCTACAGCCATCATCTCCCCAGTCTCAGCCCCAACAATTCATCAAAGTACTCTAATGGCAGATATACCTGCCTGTCAAAGGAGATGGTGCATTCTGATAGGTAGTTACAATCCAGTCGATAGGACATTGGTTAGTAAGTCAGGAGACATATGTTTCAAGGCTGGCTCTGCCATGGACCTGCTGTTTGACCCTTTGCAGATCATTTCATTTCTGTGTGCCTCAATTTCTTGTCTACTTCAATTGTAAGTCCTTCGGGGTATGGACTCTCTCTTGCTATGTATTTGTACATACATGGCACACCAGCTTTCTGATCTCAGCAAGGGCAACTAGGGGGTTCCAAAATGTAAATAAATAATATTATAGGGTCAATATATGGCAACAGTCTTTGAAATGAGCCTGGGCCAGAAGTGAACAAGAATGTGCCAGAAGGAAAGACAGTGGGTTCATTGTTCTGTTATTGCAAATCCAGAAGGAATACGTGATGGAAGTGAACCCAGCATCAGCCAAACTTCAAATCTCTTTCAGAAAGAAGCTTGGCCAAGCAGTGTGAGAGGATGGTTTAGAGAAGGGAACTATTATTTGTGCTCCTGGCTCCGATGCAGTCTTCCTCTGTGCTCTTAGCCATCACCACTGAACTTCTCTGTACCCATGTGTGACACAGACACCTTCTTTAACTACTTCATGTGGAAAAAAACTACTATGGGGCCATTTAGGACTAGATGCTCAGGGGGGATGTAGGTGCCTAACTGCTCCTTTTAAGCATTCAAGTCCAACATTTAGGTGCCACTAGCATTCCCAAAACCATCACTCATCTGTCACCTAGCCCTGTGCCGTGATGAAATTCGCAAAGTGGGTGTTCCCCTGCATATCTCACCTACAGGTCCTAATCCAAGAGGCATGCTCAGAGCACACCTAATTCATCATTGTCGTGTTGGCAGTGCTGCTACTTACCCCCCTCCCTGCACTGATTAGCCAGTGGTTAAAGCACTCCCCCAGGCTGCAGTTAGAATCCCTACTCTGCCTGGATTAGCTCATGGATTTAACCATGATCTCTCGCTTTACAAGGGACAGCCCTAACCAAGGGGCTATAGTCATTCTCATGCACTCTGCTCCAATAATTAGTAAAATATTTCATATAAAGTGGAGTAGCAGGAACAGGAGAGAATGAGAGTACCCTGCCTTAGAATACCCAAATAGTGCAGTGGTTAGGGCACTTGCTGGGAGAGTAGAAGGGGGGCCCCATCTCCACCACAGATTTTCCTGAGAAAGGGCTGATCTGGTTTAGGTGCCTAACTCCAAGAGAGGTTTCGTGGCTGAGCGTCATGGTTGGAGACAGGCACCTCACTCCAACACAGAGTTAAGCATCTACCTCCCCTTTAGGGGCAGGGCTTAGGCTCCAAACCTTTCCTTGCCATTTCCTGCTGGCGAGCTTAGACAGCCCTCCCTGCTCAGTGAGCTAGTGTCTGTGGGTGCGAAAATAAACTATGCAAAATGTGCAGCTTATTTCAAGTGTATTTCTACAGAGCGCCAAATTTCAAAATAACTCACTATTCCAAAATTCCCCTTATCCATCATGGAACAAGGATTACTGGGATGTCGGAATAAGCAGGCCATTATTTCAAAATACATTTCAAAATAACAGGCTGCTTCAATAGACACAGAATAGCTATTTCGGAGTACTTCTGGTACCCTGAAATAGCTCCACTGTGTGGACGTACCCTGTGAGTCCCTTTTCTAGGAGCCTAATTTTTTCCATGCATTGATGGTAAGCCTGGGCAGGCAAAAGGCATTTAAAATGTAAGCATTTCGCTGTTGATCATTGCAACACCTCAAGTTTCCAGTGTGAATCTAGGTCTTAGTTACTTCGATAACCGTCTATTCCTAGGACTCCCAAAGGGCGGATGCATTGGGAACATAGGCATGCTGCTGAGCCTAAATTAAGAAACAGCCAGGGCCCAATTCACAGCTGATTTAAGTACATACAGTTCTGTGGAAGCCAATGGAGTTGTGTCTGCATATGTCAACAGTGAATTTAGCCCTGGGGATTCTCCAGATGATCCCATGTTGAAGGTTAACTTTGGAGTCAACATGTGAAAAATGTAAATGCCCGTTGGTTGAACAGGGCCTGATTTTTCATCAGACGGTTCATCCAAGCCCTACTTAGCCTTTCTCTTCAGCTTTACCTCAGTGCTGCTGCAACACTGCCTGGTGCACGCACGTGTGTGTGTGTGTGTGTGTGTGTGTGTGTGCGTACACGCTATTTGTTTAGGTATAATCACTGAGATCGGGAAGGGATTCTGAGAAGATGGCTCTGTTTTGCTGATAACAACTGATGGCCTGCTCTAGCGTCCAGCATGAAATTGGTGTTAATGGGAGCTTTACCTGAGTGAGAACTGTGTGGTCAGATTCTGATTCTACTATTGTGCAAATCAGTTCCAATCACTTTAATTAAGTGTAACTCCAGATAGATGCTAGTACAACTGACATGAATCTAGCCTTGAGTGTGAATCTCTGGATCTGTTTGTAGCAGAATATCAGTTGATTTTCTGATTTCCAAAAATATAAATAAACTTAAAAAATGCTGTCCCTGCCTATGTTGAATTTTCAACTGCTTTGTCCAATTCCATTATTGACACAGAATATAGGGCTTGCACCACTTCTCTTGGAAGACTGGTTCACAGTCCAGTAGTCGTCACAGTTACGAAATGTTTCCTGATCTTTGACCTACATTTCCCTTTGCTCCATGTGGTCCCTTTGCCTGTTGTTACATACCCCCAGAGCCAGCTGGTGACATTCAGAAGTGACTAGGCAAAGCTGACATGAAAATGTTTCTTGGAGCCAGATCACAGCAACATGTCAAGATTCACCTGGCTCAGACTCAAAACAGGTCAAGCAAATCCCCCTCTGAGCACGCATCACCTCATTGGCCACTTCTTGTACTCATGCCCTTTTGTAATATACCCATGGATTTCTGTGGCCAGTAGATAATGTACTGAAGAACTAATTCCCACAATGTTAGTGGTCTCGCATAAAATCAAAATCCCATTTAGGAGACACAGTTAAGGTTGACCATTAGTTCAGACTCTGGCCTGGGAGATAGGAGGCATGTGTTCCTTTCTTGCTGTGCCACAGACTTCTTGTGTGACCTTGGGCATGTCAGTTGGTCTTCATATGCTTCATTAAAGGTATACAGATCTCAGAGGGGTAGCTGTGTTCATCTGTATCTGAAAAAACAATGGGAAGTCCTGTGGTACCTTACAGACTAAGGGTATGTCTACACTACCCCGCTAGTTCGAACTAGCGGGGTAATGTAGGCATACCGCACTTGCAAATGAAGCCCGAGATTTGAATTTCCCGGGCTTCATTTGCATAAACTGGGCGCCGCCATTTTTAAATCCCTGCTCGTTTAAATCCACAAGGAGTAACGGTAGTTCAGACTAGGAAGCCTAGTCCGAACTACCTAGTTCGTGCCGCATGTAGCCGCGCGGTACAGGGTTCGAATGAGCAGGGATTTAAAAATGGCGGCGCCCAGTTTATGCAAATGAAGCCCGAGATTTGAATTTCCCGGGCTTCATTTGCAAGTGCGGTATGCCTACATTACCCTGCTAGTTCGAACTAGCGGGGTAGTGTAGACATACCCTAACAGATTTATTTGGGCATAAGCTTCTGTGGGTGAAAACCAATTTGTCATGTGCATGGAGTCCTACATTGCAACGAAGCTGGGAAGAATTCAGTTTTTATTTTTTATATATATTTTTGACATTTATTTTAAGCATGTTGTCAATTTTTATTGATTTAAATGTTCATGGTGGCAGGCCATTATGAGGAGGGTCAGACACTAGGGATAGTTAGACTATATTTATTTTATGACAGCACACACTCAAATTCAAAAATTTAAAGCTTTATCGTTATTAAAACATAAATTGTCAACAGCACATGTCAAAATATACAAAATTAGTATCCTTAAAGTTCTCAACCAGCATTTTTCTTACTTTTACATTTCTATTTTTATTAATGGAAATACCTTTTCAATGGTTTGTGTGTAGAGTGAAATTGACATTCACCAACAACATTTACTGATAAAAAGTCTAATCTTTCCAATGCTGAAGGGTATGTCTACACAGCAGGGCAAAAGTTGAATTAAGATACGCAACTTCAGCTACATCAATTGCATAGCTGAATTTGAAATAGCTTAATTTGGCTTTTGATGCTATTTACACAGCAGGAAGTCAAAGGAAGAACACTCTTCATTCAACTTCCCTTACTCCTTGAGAAATGAGGGTTACAGGAGTCAGAGTAAGAAGTCCTCCATCTCAACATTATTGTGAAATAATGGCTTGCTCTGTAGATGCACATTTCATTATTTCAAAATAACGTCAGTTATTCCAAAATAACGCTGCTGTGTAGACATACCCTGAGGCTATGTCTACACTGGCAACTTCTTGCGCAAGAACAGCTGTTCTTGCGCAAAAACTTGCCTGCTGTCTACACTGCACGAGTGTTCTTGCACAAGTAAATTTACAGTATAGATTGTAAAACAGGGCTTCTTCTGGAAGAGTTATTCTTCTCCCCACGAGGAATAAGCCCTCTTGCGCAAGAGCTTTTCCACAAGAGGGCTGTGTAGACAGGCAACATGAATTTCTTGCGCAAGAAGCCTCTATGGTTAAAATGGCCATCAGAGCTTTGTTGCGCAAGAGAGCGTCCACACTGCCATGGCTGTTCTTGCGCAAAAGCACATCTCTTGTGCAAAAGCACACGGCAGTGTGGACACGCTCTTGTGGAAGATTTTTTGCACAAGAACTCTTCTGCAAAAGAGTTCTTGCGCAAGAACCCACCAGCGTAGACGTAGCCTAAGTGTGACCATGAGAGCCTCACATACCATAGTAATGGGAAACATATAAGTACTAATATAGGCCTGCAAGTTATATTTTGATATAAATGTATACCCTCTGAGTTTCTTTTTAATTTCTGTCTGGTTACAGATTGAAACAATGAAATAATGGTCCCGCTGTTACTGATAAGAATTAGAACTCAGGATTTTTGGCTTTCTCTGCTGCTTCTGTGTCAGCAGTTCACTAAAACTCTGTCTCCCCTGCAATGTAGGCATTTGTGAAAGGCAGAAAAGTGTATCAGAATTAACATCCGCCACTGGTATAGGCTCTGTGAAAGACCTTAAGTTGGGGCAGACAGTTTGACACAAGAGAAAATCTAGTTCATTAGTCTAAAAGAAGCTTGAATGGTCATTGCCCATTCCATAAACAAAAGACTTCGATTTCAGTAGAAATCCTAGGCATTTTTTCACCTTTGATTCCTCAGAGTATCAGTTTAGCAGTTTCCAAGAGGCTTAAAGTCACATGAAGGAAAAAATAATAAAAAATATAATTGAGAACTGCATCTTTTAAAATTTTCTTTAGTTCTTGTTCCTGATGGAGCCTCTAATGGAAGACTCGGTGCCCTTAATTATGTAATATACAATGGTTGACTTCAGCTTAATATTACATTATTGAGCCTAAAGACTGGCAGAAAAAAATGATGTATGCAACAAACGTACTGTTTTCAAAGCTAGAACAGCTTGATGAGAAAACCTCCTGGGAAAAATCAAATCTGGGACTGAAACAGAGGGGTTTTTTCTTTCTCAGAGACAGAAGGCATCAAAAATGAGCCTGATGAAAAGGACGACATTTCACTTGCTTTTCTTTTTCTGATCTTTCCATCGCCCAGAGCGTCAATCGGATTATCAGTCGCTAATTAGTGCACAGTAGTGTCAGTCAGAAAAGGTCCCACTCACTGTAAGGAGATTCTCTGCCCGGCAATAAGAGCATGGACTTATGTCATGGGGTGGACTGGGACTGGGGTGTGGAGAATGATTTTCAGAAGCTAAATGTCTTTCCCCAGCCTTATTCAGAAGTCCTCTTGAGTTGCAGGCAATAGTGTGTTGCTGCCCATGCTAAAGTATCTTTCCCTGTAATGTTGCTGTTCTCAACTCTGTTTTTTTCTGCTCATTATTTGAAGCTCCCACCTCCCTCAGTTTTCCTCCACTGGTGGGTTAGAGAAAGCAATGCTTACCTATGGCATAGCTGGGAAGCTGATGATTGACAACTTTCATCAAATACAGAGGCACTGGCCCACCCCTGCAGCTCTTGGAACTGGCCCTCAGGACCTGGTGTGTCACTTCTGTGATGCTTGCAGCCTTCGGGGAGAAAGAAGCACAGTCTCAGCTTCGAACGGGTTGACCTTCTGTTCTATCCTACTGTGTGCTAAGTGCCCAGGCCCTGCCTGTGACAACTTGAAGGAGAAATGAGAATTTGGCTTTCTTTTTTCTACAGTTAACTTGGAGCAGGACATATACCTCCCTATAGACTGTGTTTGGCACTCACGGGTATGCATGCACACACACAAACAGATACAGCATAGCCATCTTATAGGCTGTGTAGCTGTGGATCAAATCTATCCTATTTATTAGTCTTTGCATAGCCATTACATTGTATCTCTTGGCGGTTGATGGGTGGAGAAGGAATGCTGTTTTACAGATGCTGAAGCACACATATTAGAAAGTGAGTTTCACCTCTACCAAGGGCCAAATTTTCAGAAAATTCAGGCAAAATTTGAATGCACAATTGTCATGATAAAATACCCATACTTGACACCATGAAATGCTGTAATTACCTACAATTAGTACTGTAAAACACCCAAATACAATTTGCATACACAGCCACTGAAATAAATTATGTGAATGCAGTTTTGTGCAACGGGTCTACCAATGTAGTCCTGAGTGATTTCTGACCTCCTCCCCACTTGAATGAATTGATTTGTTAGGCCAGATCCTCCGATATTGTGAACTGGGTTAGCTACCCTGAAGTCTGTGGAAGTAAGTTAATTCACAGCTGCTGGGATACTAGTCTCATTGCCTTTAGCAGTGTTCCTCAATCTATGAGGCCGGCTCTCTCGGAGGGTTAGGCTCATGGCTGCTTAAGGAAAAGGAGAAAACAATGAATGTTCTTTTGGGGCTATGATTAGGTCTAAAGGAAACCATGCACCAGCATTGACTGTGCATTGCTGAATACTAAATGGTCACTAGAGAGTTCCTCAGATCCCGGGTCCTTCCTCACTCACGTGGATGGACATAAGCTGGCTGCCTCCATCCACATGACTAGACTATACAGTTCAAATGCATAGTCCCTAAGCCTCAGCATCCCATCTTAATTCTGTTAGAGGAGGCTCATGTACCTTTAGAATAGGTCTTCTGCAAAGCAAACTGGGAGCAGGCTTCCCAATGTGGGTGGACAGACTCATGCTAGCTTAATTAGAGCTAGCATGTTAAAAATAGCAATGTGGCTAGAGACTTAAGTAGAAACCCACCCAATTCCCTAGGTATTTGGGTGGCTAGCCCAAACCACTGCCTATGATACCATAGCCACAGAGCTGTTTTTATCCCCCTAGTTCAAGCATGCTCCCAGCTTCTGTGTAGACATACTCATACTGCAGTTACAGGAGGAATGCTAGGAGGGCTGTGCTGGGAAAGGACGCCTCACTGTGTGCTGATGTTTGTGTAATGAAGACTGGTCAGTTATGTATTAATTAATTTAAAGCTAGCTGCAAAACACCTTTCCTAACACAGAGACAAAGCCTTGGAAAGTATCTATTTGTAGCCTATGTACTCGATGTTTAAATTGTTTTGCCAGCATACACAATGTAATAAAACCCCTGTAATTTTAGATCTCATTTTTACATCCCTTGCAGAGACTACACAGTTTGGATTCAGTTAATCAAGTAGAAGTGTTTACAGAGTCCTTTATGTGTCCTCAGGCTTTGAACGCTACCACTGGAGTAAACCAGCCTCACAGAGCTGGCTTTCTATTTTTAGCAAGCAACCTCTTCCTTGCAGTGAAAAATGATATTGATGGGCTTGCATGAATCCTCCCTCGTTGCACAACCAGATGTATCCTAAGCAAAGCCAGTGATTTCTGGAGCCACCTACCTTTTAAGAGGTTCCTTTGTTTGAGGGCATGATTCTGTTGGTAGCATCTCAGCCGTGTTCAAGCAACTCATGGCCTCTATAAGGTGCTGACTAGCAGACAATGCAATTCCTAAATCATATTTTGAACTCAGTTGAGGTGCAGAAGGCGTACAAGCAGCTCTACTTACCTGCTCTGTGAAAGTGTGCGGGGCTCAGCAAGCTCTGATGAGACCATGGTGATGAGTGAAAGATAGACCAAAGAAAATACATCACTAATGCTGCATAGGAATTGTTCTTCATTTGCTGCAGCAATGGGAACTGAAAACCCTATGATAACACATTAGCTATGAGTTAGTGAATTTTCCTTTGCCACTGGACGCAAACATGCATTTAGAATAAAATGGGAGATCTTAACTACAGATTGGCCGCCAGTCCAACCTCCCCCCCTAACAAAATTTGTGGGGAAGGTTCAATTTTGGTTCTACCTGCACATACTAATCCAGAAGGGGGCCTGTTTTCTGAACCCCATTTGGATGTCACTGAAGTGGCATGAGACCATCTATTCCAACAAGATTTCCACCGTATCAGGCTGAAGCCCTGCTAACTGTTCTTCATAATCTAACCCTAAACTGAGCCCTGGCTCAGCCTCAGATTCAGAACCTAATCTGGATCCAGATCCAAACAGCTTTCTACTTTCATTTTAACTCCTGCTCCTTAATCCTTATCCCTGCCTTGTAGCCAGAGCTCTTTTGAGTCTGACGGTGAAGCTTCAGCATAAGGGATGCAGCTGAACTCGCAGAATAAGACAGATACACAGTGCAGGTGGTGGAGAATTCATGCATTTTAATAAATAGATTTTAATTCAGTGAAATGCCCTCCCCCTTCCAAGCCCCCCCCCACCTCAGCCCAATTAGCAGAGGGTGAATGGATTTGTTCGCTCCGAGTGTGGGAGAGGAGTTATGTTTTCAAGACCATCTGCTCATGAGTCCTTTAAAAAACTGTTGGAGAGGAAAACAAGCTTTAACCTGAGGGGGAGAAAAGAAGGGGGAAGGCATTCCAGGATCCTGCAGTGAGGGATTTTGACAGCATGGGAGGATGAACACTGCCAACCTGACCAAGGGTGGTCTTGACAGCTTACTAGAAATAGGGGTCAAGGGGCTCAAATTCCCTGAAAGGGGGAGTGGTTCACAATCTGTAAGGAAAGGCTTTGACAGCCCCAGGAGGCAGGGAACTAACAGTCTGTTTTGGAAGGCATTCCAGGATCCTGCAGTGAGGGATTTTGACAGCATGGGAGGATGAACACTGCCAACCTGACCAAGGGTGGTCTTGACAGCTTACTAGAAATAGGGGTCAAGGGGCTCAAATTCCCTGAAAGGGGGAGTGGTTCACAATCTGTAAGGAAAGGCTTTGACAGCCCCAGGAGGCAGGGAACTAACAGTCTGTTTTGGTTTACTCCCTTCTGAGAGCCTGAGTGGAGAGGGGTCTGACAGGGAAATTGCTCCAATGGCTGGTGGGTGGAGGGGCTCAGGAAGATGGAGCAAATTGCCCAGATGGGACAGTTCTGATACGTTAAAGAGCGGGTGATTCTCCTCACTGCGCTGCCTGAGGGTAGTTCTGACAGCCTCCACTGAGAATCTGACTGGGTTGGGGGTGAGGTTTAGGCAGCATGAATGGGGGGGCACTGACAGCAGGGAGGGGAGCTTGTGGAGGTGAAAGGGGACTCTTGCAGCCTGTGCGGGGAAGCCAGGACGCTGGCAGGCTGTGAGGGGAGCCTGTGGTGATGAAGGGAGCTCTGGAAGAGCAGTGAGGATACTCACAGCCTGAGAGGGGCATTGGTGGCAATGGGGGCTCTGTCATTCTGGGAAGGGAGCTTCTGGCATGCTGGGGGTGGACATTTGGAGGCAGTAAGGTTTAGCAACCTGAGTAGGGAATTGTTCTGACTGAGCTGCTGTCTCTTCTTTCACTTTCAATATGAATCAATCGATAGAAACAAAATCTCTGTATTCTTTCCCCAAATCAGTTTTTTTGAATATTTCACCTCTAGTGTTCTGTTTAAAAAACAAACAGTGGTCCTTTGATGTATCTCGTGCTAGCACCTTCCCCCCTCTGTTGCAACAATGCTTCTCTCCCCTCCATATGGCTACATATATCTGGCTTGGCATAGTGGCTCACTCTGCTTCGTTCTCTGTTCCCCCTAGGGAGATGACATCTTGGATCGGAGCTCTGAGTTGATCTACACAGGGGAGATGTCCTGGATTTACCAGCCTTATGGACGAAACCAGCAGCGTGTTTTCTTCCTCTTTGATCACCAGATGGTTCTCTGCAAAAAGGTAATGAAACCCCCATGAAATCAGTGCTGTTAACGACACAGTAAGGAGGAGGCATTAGTTGCATTTTTCAAATGAAGTTATCATTTTTCCAGGCTGGAACACAGCAACTCACACAAAGGGGGAAATGATGGATGCTGCAGTAGGGAGGGAGGAAACAGACCTGAAATTTGGACTGGGCAGTTTATTTTCCCAGGCTAGTTACCATGAAGGGAGACCTCAAAGAAAACGGGTTTCCATCTGTCTCAAGATTTGTTGCATTGTCGCAGTTTCATTAGGTGGAGCCGCCAGGACATTTCACTTGTCATGAAACCAGATGTCATAATGGTGAAACATAATGATGTTATGACATTGCATCAGAGCTTGAAGATTATTTTGGCATGGCCTGATGATGCTGGGTGTGGAAGTCACAGGGAAGAATTTAGCCATGAAAGGTCTAAAAGGTGGGAATTTAGATGAAGACAAGTGGGAATGGCTGTCTCCGGAGGAGAGCAATGGAATCAGGAAGTCATGTGGAGTGAAGAAAGTGAGGATCAGTTTCTCCCTGAGGAAAAACAGTAGAAGGCAAGTAAATACTATAGTGAGGAATGGACGGAGTCCCAGGGGAAAGCTGCAGTAAAGGGAATAGACAGAAGCACTGGAGAAGGTCAGTGAAGGAAATGGACAAAGGGAAGAGGAATGGCTGGTATTCTTCCTATGGAACAAATATTTCTGTTATTAAGCATTTCCCAAATGAGACCTATGTGCATCAGATGTTTGTCAATTTCTGAGAGAGGTGTAAAAAGCTCTGACTGTACGCTGTAGCTGTTCCCTTAGGACCTGTAGCAGGCACTGAAGACCCATGTAGTCGAACCTGAAAACTGATGGAAAATGAGCAAAAAAACCCGCACCACTGGATGGCTTGACACCCTAAGTAGAGAAGCAAAATGTTGGTTTTTTTCCCACACAAAGGATCATGAGGAATGGAAAACAGTGACTCAAATCCTCAAATTTCCTTAAGCGTTCTCCCCAACCTGACATAGTATCCTTTGATTAGTTCCAGCGAGAATCTAGCCGTATCATTTGTTCCTACATGAAGGATGATCAATGGATTCTTTCCCGCTCCCTTTAGGATCCTCTTCAGTCTTAGTTCTACATCCCGTATCTTAGCACCTGCCAGACAGCACACCCTTCTGTTCTCTGGATTAGCTCTGGTTACAGGCCTGTCTATTCTTCTCAATAAGGAGTCCCCAATCACATAGACCTGCCTTTTCTCTGGTCTATCCCTTGTTTCCTCTGGCTGCAAGTCCTTTCCATTCCTATCTTCCCTTGTAATCTTCTTCAACCCATCCTGTATCCTCCTGGCAGGGCTGACCCGAGCCCTTTTGGCACCCTGGGCCTGGGTGCACGGTGCTGCCTCTGGGCGCAGGGCGCATGCATGGGCCCACCCATGGGGCCCGGGCCCACCCTCTGGGGTGCACGGCGCATGCACGCGCCAGTCGCTGGCGCACAGCCCGGGACCCGCCCCCGGGGGGCTCGGG